TGTTGTCTTGTATAATTTTGTTTCCGCATGAGTGTAGATAATTGTTTCCATTGACAGTATGTTAATGTTTATACCGTTATGGTGCGAGTTGAGTTGCTTGAACTTTGTGTTTATGTTATTTGTATGGATTTATGGTATCAAAATTATGCATGCATGTTGGAATTTATATTTTAGGGAGAAATAAATATTTTATTCTCAGTTATTGATTATGTTTTCATGTGATTGACTAACAAATTGTACCTTTTTTGCTCAATGTGGTCAACATGGTCCAGACCGTACTGGACTAGACCACACAGGCATGGTCTAGATGCTGTAGTATTTGGTCCTAGGCCTATGCTCCAGCTTCTCGGTTTGGAGCATTGACCATATGTATGGTTTAGTCTGGACCAGGTTGCACTGTTTCTCAGCCCTAACTCAAAGTTAATCACGTACATAGTTTGGAGAGGTATAAAAATATATGAGTCCTATTGTTTTAGTGTCGAGTTTGGAGAGGTCCTAAAATATTTATCCTAACATTCATTCAAAATTAGGCGGGATATAGAAATCCCCAGAATATTGTACAAAATCCAGTACAACAAATCAAGATTAACTGACGAAATAAGGTGAAACCCAGGGTCCAAGAAGTGCCCTGGTTAGCAAGAAAATCAACACACTAATTAGCTTCTCTATAGACATGGGAAACAAATTCCTCTCTATCTCGACACAATAAGGAGCGAAAGTGATCAATAATAACGACATGATGATGATACTTTCAGAACTCTAGAGGAGTTGAATGGCGGACCTCGAGTCAAGTTCCATCCTCACACGCCGGTAGCCCATGTCCAACGACAGTTGAAGTCCTTCCACAATGCCTCTTAATTCAAGCCGAGTGATGGAGCAAATCCACAGATTATAACCGAATGCTACAACATCCTAATTGGTCTCTGATTATTCCTCCTTCCGCAGCCATGCCAGAATCATGTCGAACGGAGCCGACCGAGTTGAGAGTAACTCACTTGGGAGGAGGCAGCTTCCATGAGATCAACTCATCCGTTCTGATGGGCAGAAAGGGATGATGAATAATCCTTTCATTGTCCAAGGAATTTCTCACTACATTTGTCCATGCCAGGATGTGTTGGGAGAGAGCTTTAACTGAAAAGATCTTGTTAGCAAAAAAACATGGTCGTTTCTAACCCGCCACAGGAACCAACAAGTGAGACCAAACTGAAGGCAAGTGTGTTCTTGCTTAAGATAAATCAATTCAGTCCTCCCAGGGGAGACTGAAGAAATGTTGGTATTCAGAAGGTTGGATAAGTTGCATCCAAGTTAACCTGGCAAACTGATAGTCCGCAACAGATGCATGACTATTCAGTTGCTGCTCTATAATGTCCACTCCACCTGAATGGAAATGTGACGTTGGTTACGCTAAGAGTTGATGAGAAGACTCTCCCTAGCAGCAAGCCACAAGAATTTCTGGACTCGAGCAGGACCCCTCCATTGTCATAGTGTCTTCCAATCAAATTGTCTCTCCAACTGCTCATTGTCAAAGGCAAGGTTGTAGGTAGAGCGAACACGGGAGCACCCGTCGATCTATGAACCCCAGATCGGTACATTATCCCCGACCTTGCTCTCGGCAGTTGCACCCCTATACTGCAAGATGGATGAGTTCGAGAGCAACTAACGAAGAAAGTTCAAGTAAAACTCACCTGTAGGATTTGTGAACTGCGCCACCAGGGAATACGGGTTGATAGCAGAGCCGTGCTCACAAAAAAAAATCAATAAGTTGGTCATCATATCCACCCAAGGGGTCTATCCAAAAGGAGGTGGATTGATCTTCTTTAATGCTCATGTGCATGCATGCTGCCATTATTGGTAATGCCATGCTGATCCCTCTCCAGATGGTAGAAGCTTTGTTTACATTTTTTGCTACCAAGCTCCCCTGTATAGATTTGAAGTATTTAGTTTGTAGAATCTGCATCCAGAGCTCATCGGGGTTTTTAATAAAAGTCCAAGAAAGTTTAGAGAAATATCTCAAGTTTAATTCATGTGCATTATGTAAACCAAAACCTCCTTCATGTTGTGTATTTGTTTGTTTGGTGGGAGCGCAACCAGAGGATCTTCCAGCAAAATCATGTTTCGTCAACGGTGGTGAGACGCAAGATTATCAAAAGTGTTATGGAGTGGAACTTGGCCCATGGGAGAATTGATAAGGAGAAAGGAGCCAGGTGGCTCAGGGATACCTTCAATTTGATTCGTTCAAGCTGATTTGTTTTGTTGGTTCGTTGTGAGTGTTGAGTGGCTTTTGCGTGTTTCCTTGCTGGGAGCTTGTGATAGCTTTGTTGTGGTTCCTTTGATACAGCTACTCGTGGCAACTTGCGATTTTTTTTATTTGCCTGAAGTTTTATTGGTAGTGATTTTGAGGAGTGGTGCTTGTTTCTACCACTAAAGTCTTTGTTTCCGTTTCTTTGCTTTTCAGACCTCTATGTTTCGCCTATGTCAGACGCTTTCTGTGGTTTTTCTGCTGCTTTTCTTGCTGGCAACCCTTTTTTTTAGTTGCGCCTCTTTTGTGTTGTGTTGTTTAGGGTTTCATAGCTTGTGATGTCCTGGAATTTTTCTTGGTTTCTTGTCTTTAATAAATTATCACCATTATAAAAAATAGTGACATATGTCATTGCTTTCATATTTTCTCTTTGTCATATGGATAATTGTATTAGCCCTCACCGATAAAGTCCATGTTAACTTTCTCCATTACGGCAACGATTCTAATTATCCGTTCAGTCTTCACTGCTTCACCTTGCCATGGTGGAACACAAGAAAAATCTTCACAACATTTCGAAGTCGTTCCCCCGCGATAGTCGTCTTGATCAACCTGATGACTTGTTGGATAAGTAGCTCGACGACCTTTTAAATAAGGCTTGATCTTTGCAATCAAACTGATAACACTGAATCTGTACACGTTTTTACGGTAAAAAACTCGGGCATGACCCAAAGATGAATGGATTTTTATACCTCATTTAATAGACAAAGAATCATGTAATTTAGGCATGAAAAGAAAGAGGACGAGACTATGAGCGTCTGGGATCAAATGGCAACCGATTCGGAGTTCGGATGAGGAGAAATGATCGAAAGATAGCAGCCTCTCCAAAGTTACGGGTTGTCCTTTAAAGTTATGGTTTAGACCGTAACTTTGCCATTTTGACTGTAACTCGGTGCCACGGGAGGCAGAATACATTCCAGAAGTTACGTCCTGAACCCCAAAGGTTACGACCATAAATTGGCTTCTGTGAGCTGTATAAAGGCGTTTTTGTGGATTCTAAAAGGGAAGAGTGGGGTTTAGGATCCCAAACACTTAAGGGACGAACCCTGGATAGAGAGCATCTTGGGGTCATTCTTTGGAGCTATTTTGGAGGATTTCTTTGCCACAGGAGCTCGGGAACAAGCTTGGAGATAAATCTAAAACGGATTTATGCATTCTCTCTCTTCTCTATGGAGTAACTTCCCTTCACTTAGGTTTTGAGGAACCCTAGCCATGTTTGTTTGAATGGTTGATTGTATGAGTACTCTTACTTGATAATCTTGAGTTCATATTCAATCTATGCATGTTTTCATGATTCAATTATGCTTTAGTCGAGATTATTGATTCTGCTTTGATCCTATGAGAGCGAATATGGTCAATAGAGCACCATATTAATAGTACTGGACCGATTGCTTTAGTCGATGGTCGATTCAATGCTTTGTATTGATTGAGAACCTCATTCAATAGAGGGAATCTAGTTCACAAAACCCTGATAAGTTGTTCTAGAGAAGGATACGTCCCTCTAGGAAACCGATTCAAGAGGGCCTTGACTTCTTTAGTCGAGATTCAAGATCTAGTAAAGGATTCTCCGCATTGTGAATGAAATTGAAACAAGTTAGAATTTTCAATCATTAATCTGGCTAGTGGCTAGGGGGAATCATACCTAAGTTAGTTCCCAACCTGTAATTAGTAGTTTTACTTAGTTTAGTTAGTAGAGTAGTTTATTTAATCAATTCTTAATATGGTTTGCTAGATAATGAACTGAAGCTAAGTAATAGTAAATCTAGAGACCCGTGGATTAGATATTTATTACTTGTGCCACTATACTACATTCACTTTCATTGGTTACACTTGGCCATTTTTAGTAGTTGTGTTTTAGTGAGTCACAAACCCTAAGATTGAAAGCCAAATACAAATAAAATCGAGCCCAATAATTCTACCTCTCATGTGAACTAATCTTTGATCATTGAGAAAATTACTTAAATATGTTAAACGATGTTGTGTTGTGTCTCGTTGTACATAGCCCATAAACCCATTTTCTTTTATTCCTTTGTCGAGACCTACATGTTGAGTTGGTGTATGTTGGTTTGGTTAAGCCATCAGTCATAATAATATTAGTAACCTGGAGAGCGTTCTAATCTCTCCCATGGATTAGTTCATTAAGGATACCACGTAAACCGTCTATGTTCTTGTTTGATTTCAAATTAGATTTGTTAACATGGTATCAAAGCCCGATGCGATGGACTCAGAGAGACCTAATGTTCATTTAAGCTCCACCAACTATGCTCTTTGGGAATTCCAGTTTAGAGATTTTGTTGAAGGAAAAAGGTTTGCTTGGGATACTTGATGGGACTGCGCCGAACCTCAAGCAACCGCACCAGCACAAGAAATTGCATCGTGGACCCAAGACGATGCAAGAGTCCGTTCATTGCTTTTGGGATCATTCGACTCATAACCATGTTTGAGTCTCCGTTTATTTTCGACGACAAATCACATGTGGAGGCACTAGGCGTCCACTTATTCAACTGTCAACGTGGCACATCAGTTCGAGATACAGACACCCCACAAAATATGTGAATCATGGTATTGACATTTTTCGTACTTCTACACATAAGACTGATATGTAGAAAGTCCGATTAACACAATCGAAAAACAAGAGAAAAAAACACAAAACATTAGCTTGACAATCCCCAATAATTGAGATGTCTATAAGTCAAGTATTTACACCGGTATAAAAGTAAAGGCCAATACATAATCCGATGGAGACGGCAACCAAGTTGAAGGATGGTTAATTACAAAAACGGTCATGACACATCGGATAAGTGGGCTCTTTTTTTTTTCTTCCGTCGTTTTTATTCAGTTCACTACTACAACTACACTGAAATCAAGGCAAAATATGAAAATTGCTCAAATAAAAACGAAAAAAGAAAAAAAGAAGAGAACACGAAAATTACAAAAATACGAAAAAATGATAATTAATAATTGTAGTACCCCGTCCCTCAAAAGAAAAATACTATTTTTTTATATTATTATTATTTAAAGTTTTTTTTCCCTCTTTTCTTATGGCGCACGATACGCACACCTTTGAATATTTTTTAATAATCCTCCCTCCCCACCTTCCCCCGCGATTGATGACGACGATCCAATCAAACAAAATAAAAATTGAAAATTAAAAAGAAAAAAAAAGTGGCCGTCACCACGTCAGTGATTACGATCAGCAGATCTGGACCTCCATCCCCAATCCACGGTGGTGCCTGAACACCGCCGTGCACTCCGGCAACTCCCCCAGATCGGCGAACAACGACTCGTCCTCCTCCCTCATCGGCAGAAACAAATCGCCACCCACGTCATCCGCCAGCTGTCCTCCCCTCCTACTCCCCCCCGAGAATATCGGGCTATCCAGAATCGCTGACGTCGACGTCTCCATCTCCCCAAACCACGAGAACTCGCCGTGATCCGCCGCGGACAGCATCGGCTCGTCCCCGAAACTCGTGAACCTCGTCGCCGCCGCCGCCTCCTCCTCCTCCGGCTCTGCCTCCGGCGACTCCGGGTTCGCGGGTGGAGTCTCCGGCGTGGCAACTGCGGCGGAGGCGGATTTAGCGGCGTGGTGGTGGTGGTGGTGGTGATTGGTTCTGGAAGGAGGCGGCCAAGGGTGGTTGTGCTCGCAGGAGTAGGTGACCACTAGCATGGTGGGGTCCACGCGGCTCCTCTCCACTTGTTTCCTCGCTGGGCAGCCCTTCGAACTGCTACACCTGTAGTACCCTCTGCCAAAAACAAAATAAATAAAAAAACATCAGCAAATTGTAATGAACAATCGTAATGATCTCGAAAATTAAGAATTAGTTAAATCAGCCAGCCAGCCATAATTGGCGCCGGTCGATGATTCCTATACATATGCCCAAGTCGTAGAGAACCCGCCAAAATTGGTAATAAAGAAAAGGATGGATTGATCAAATTGAGGGAGGGTGGTACGTGGTGGGAAAACCCAAAAAGAAAAAGAAAAAAGGAAAATGAAGGCGACATATTTGGATTAGGACTGAATTATTTGGAGTTGCGGAATAATTAGGGATTCAATTTGATGGGAATTTGGAGATACCTGGGGTAGGGTGAGCCCTTGATGGGCTTCTGGCCGTATTTTCGCCAGGCCCAGGAGTCGGCCGGCGGGGGAGCGGTCTCCCCCTTGAGCTTCAAACCTTCCACGTCCTTGATTGGGATCGACACCACTCGCTTATGCGCCCCGCGCTTACCACTGCACCAACCCATTAACTCAATTATTCACTAATTACAGATCAGAAAAAGGAATTGAAGGGGGGGATGATAATTAATTACCTGCGTTTAGGGGAAGAAGAAGTGGTAGTGGAAGAAGTGGAGGCCATCTTGATGTCGGAAGCGGAAGGAGGGGAGTCAGGCCCACTTTCCGTACGGGAGTGGTCGTTTTCTTCTAGGCCTAGCTCGCTGCTGCTCATCATTAGTGAGCTGATGCTGTTGAACTTGCGTTCCATTTGGGCCTCTATTCTGCTACCTACTACTGACGGGCCGCCGCCGTCTGTGTCTGTCCGTCCTTCCTTCCTTCCTGCAGGCAGATATATGGTTTTGTCGTAATTAGAGAGCTGCAGGCCGGCCGGCGGGAGTGGATATTGATGATGAGTTGAAGAGACAGTTTGGATTGTTCCTCGGAAACCCCGGTCAGAAAGTGGGATGATGATATAGAGAGAGGGCCAGCTGAAAGATATACAGATTAGGAGAGAGAGAGAGAGAGAGAGAGGAGAGGGATGGGGGAGTTGGTTAATTTGATTGGTGAGTGTGAGCGAGGCAAGAAGAAGAAGAAGAAGAAGAAGAAAATGAAGGGAAGGGGAGAGAGAGAAGGTGGAGAAAGAGAGAGGGTTTAGTTTTATATTATTATTCTAGTAATAATTATTTTTAATTTTATTATGATAATGAAAATGGCCGCCATATTGACAGATGAGCCTTTGCCTAGGGTGGGGTTATATATATATATTTTTATTTTATTAGGGACGTGCAAATTAATGTTGTCATTAATTATTTTCTGCTCCTTTGGTTTTCTTTATAAGTTTATTCATGCCACTATTGCAACATTAATTATTGTCATCCCTAACTAATAATTGAAAATCACTACACCCCTTCTCCCAAGGTTTATTTCAAATCTCATCACATTAATTACCTCTCTTTCTTTTCATTACACATCATAGCTTCCTCATTACATGACCTATTACCAAAAAGGAAGAAAGAACCCTATGTTCATATTATCTATTTTCTTACTTTTTTCTGCTATGTTATCTTCTTCGTGCAAGGCATGGTTGAGTCGAATTACATAAAATGATCGTGATTCCGTAAGAATAATGTATACATGAACAATTAACTAGAAGTTAGCTAGATATCGTCAATGCACAAATTGATATCTCCTCCAAGTAGACTCAACCCCGCGACATATGTAATGCTAAACCAAACACAAGATCAAGTTCAAGCTATATATTCAACCTCGTAATAAAAAACCTAGAACAACCTTAGACCTCACATCATAATTATTGAGTTAAACCGTTGAACAAGTTCCTAAATTTCTCTTCGTGCACCTAAATTCGAACCTAACTGAAACATCATAAGACTACGTACTCTTGTACACAAAGCTAGACAACAAACTATCACAATTCGTAGATACTTCATCATTCAACTTCATTCAAAGAATCACTTTGTGAAAAAACGAACAAAGAAAAGGGATTCAATGGACGTGATGAACAATATATATACAAAATTGAACCACTTCTCCAAAGAAGCCCATGGCGGGACCGTATAAGATTAACAAGACAGTCCCACCAATATATTAAAATTAAGCTCCATCTTTTTGGCTTGAAACAAAGTAATAAGACAAAAGAACAAACCTCTGTATAATATTTCTAAGTTTCGATTTTTTTTTTTGGTAATATATTTCTTAGTTTCGATAAATGATCATTAGTATTATTGAATATTAATGATACTTTCAAGTGGTAATTATCCTCGAGCTTCTAACATCTCGTCGTATAAGAGATTCATACAGGGTCAGGGATCATCTGAAAACATATATCAAAACAGCATTTGGCCCCTCCTTTTGTTTTGGCTTGGTCGTTTTCCCTCAAGAGGTTCTAAATAATTTATTGATACGCATATTTTTTTTTAAAAAAAAAACCTAGCTAGCTAGATGCATGATTTTAAGTGTGATTGGGACAGGATAATTTTGTTTCTTGCTCTCAATATATAAATATCTATCATCAATAATAATAATAATAATATATATCCTTGGAACGAGTAAGCTGAAGGCCGGGCCGTAGTATTAAATTTGTTCTATTCATGGGTTCAATTATTAAATGGGGACAGTTGCTGTTCACACATACATCACCTTACGCTTAACAACAATAATCAAAGGTGGGGATGTTTGAATTTTTGTGCAAATGATGTTTGAATGATGATTAAGAATGGGACATTGCCTCTTCAGAAGATAAAAGGGGGGACATGGTAATGAAAGTTATCCGATTAATCTTGTATTTGTGCGAGTATATCATGCTCCATGTGATTTCGACTATTTACAGCGATGCAAAGATCATATAGAAGAGCAGTGTTGTATAGGATTATTATATGCACATCGAAAAATGATTTGAGGCTCGGTGAAAGAAGCTTGGTCTGAAGAAGGAGAATATGTTAGTGGAATTAATGTGTTCTACTAGGGCTGGCTATTTGGACCGGGACCGGATGAAAAACCGGAAACCGGACCGTATAATCCGAACCGAGACCGGACCGGGATCGTATAGTAAACAATCCAATCCAATCTTTGGGCTTAGATTTGAGGTAAAAAACCGGATAAAGACCGGATAAAAGAGCTCAACACCCAAAACTTAAGGGTAATTTGCATAAACGGTCACAAACCTTTGCACTTAGTGCAAAACTTAACCAACTCCTCACCCTTTTAGGCCTTAGGCCACTCAAATTCCCACAATCTCAATATAAAATCAAGACCGAATTGGGACCGGACCGGGTCAAGACCGGACCGGATCAAGACCGGACTGTATCCAATCCAATCTTCGGTCTTTATATTTTAAAAAAAACCGGACTGGACCGGATTAATTTGGGCCAATTTAACCGGACCGGACCGTATAGCCACCCCTATGTTCTACAACAATTTTGTGCATATAGTTAGGAGTATTTTTGGGACATCCATATTTTTTAACGTGGATTGATATTTTTTATGATTGCTTTTGTAATTTCGCACTTTCCATAGTCATCATTTATATTTTTTTCTAAGAACAATTGCACATTCACTTTTAGACTTTTAGCGAATGGTTTTTCCTCGATATTTATAAATTCTCTCTTACAGAAAAAACTAACATATTTACAAAGAGAAAATATGTACAAGAGTAATAGAATAGAATAGAATAAAATATTATTAGGTTGACCCATAAATATTCGGCCAAGTGGTAATATCACTAATTTTGAACCTATAGGTCTCATATTCAAATCTTGTTATTAAGTAGTAAACCCTAACCATATTGTCCGACTCTCCAACACGGTTTAATACTCGATTACAATTCTAAACCTAGACTAGTTTAGTCGTAATATAGAATGAAAACAATATATAAATTTTGAGTCAGCAATTGCCTAAAATAAAAATATAAAACTAGAGCACATTAATTCTAATTCGTTATCATATGAAGGCCATAAAATTTTGTCGAGAAAGTTTAGTAGCTGTGTAGATACGGCATATATAGTTAATAGCTATGCAACAAATTACTAGATATTGATCATTATTGGTTAATTTCCTGACCATTGATCTGAACAGTGACATAAGTGATTGAATAATAATGCATTTAGAGATATGCGTATATATATATATACGCGGACTGCAGTCTGCAGACGGCATGAAAACCACCACAGACTGGGATTTGCATTTTTTTAAAGAACAGTCTTCAGAAGAAGGGTTTGATCATTGATGACCGCATCTATATTGAAATCTCCGGGTTCCAGTGAATGCATATATCGATAGAAATGAGAATTTATATGGCGGGTTAATAAAGAGAATGGAAATAGAGAAGTTAGTCATTTGCGGTTGTTTAAGTTGAGAATCAAATAACAACGAGCTACTGATATTGTTAGATTTTTTTTGTACGTATGCGTTATCATGCAACATGACATAATGTAGCTTAATTAATGAGACCATCGCAAACCAAATCACAAATGTAATTACATATGTCTTTTATGTATCCAAATCATCTTTTGACTTTGAAAAGAACAAATAACGCCAAAAGACATAAAATGAAAGTAAAACACAACCTCGGTCTATTATAAGTACATTGATCAAACAATTATGATTTTCGCATGAAACATAGTATTTTGTACTAAAGATGCATCGATTAGAAAGAAAAATGTGTCAAATATAGGAATGATAAGCACAATAATCTGAGTGTCATCAAATCTCCTCCTAGAGTTTTCTTAGACGTGCTTCGATTGATACAGGCAACATATGAGTTGTTTGATTCTTGCAAGATTTATTCATATCTTGTGTCACGGCGTTTACCAAATCTATTAGGCTATAGGGACCCTACGGATTCCTCCCTTGATTACCATACACAATCCAACCAATTGATGATCGATTGTGAAGGACGACCTTGGCCAGTCACATCCATCACAAAGTCAGATTTGAATTATATATCTTATGAGTAGTAGCTTCGTGTTGGGCGTGCAATTGTTTTGACAATAAACCATATTGAGAAAGCAAACGCATAAACAAAGAACTCAAATACTCATATATAACCAAGAATCAATAGTAACAAAGTCTAGAGAACCTTAGAGTTCGAAAACCTATACAATTAACGAACTAGCCGCTCATGGAGCCCGGATTTGGGAGAACATTAGTCAAAAGCTAAATTCCCAAATCTTAAGAAAATCTGCGACTATATGGAAAATTGGTGTCTGGGACACCAATTCTGCCACTGGTATGCCCCTGAGGTTTTGGCTCTAGGTTGGAGTGCTGCTCTATCGTTAGAGTAACCTCCCGGTAAGACTTGAATCTCAACTCCTATGCAAGGGGGTCTATTTATAGACTATTCTATCATATTTTATGAGATAGAAAGTATGATAGAAAATCTTTTGGCCGATCCTTTAGGTATATCTCCAACTTAGCCTCCAAGTCTGGCTCTCTCGAATCTGGGCTGATTTGGGACTCTCCAGATTGGCTTATAGTCCTCCAATTTGGGATTGAGCCTACTAGTTCGATACCAAATTTTAGGATTCGCTCCAATCTCAGTGTGTGACTACTTCCACAGTTGGATGTTGATGTCTCCCACTTTTAAATTGCGGTGCACTGGATATACTTTGACTTGAAAACACATAAACACTATAAACAGTGCATCGAAATAATAAAAGTAATCATAGGAGCTACTAAAACACACATTTGAGTGATTACCAAACAATTCCAAACTATTATGTCACTAATAAATATATGAAACTATGCAAAACTTCCATAAAATAAGGGTACAAACTCTGTTTTCAGAACCGGATCGGAGGCTGAACCGGAAAAGTTTGTAGTTTACGGTTCAATGGTTAACCATTACAAAACCGTTGGTAAATCATTGATAGAACCGTTCATGATATATAACATACGAGACTTGTATATTACACTAATTTAATAATGAAATTATCATTGATCATAAACAATTTTAAATTCATATCATCACCAAAATATCTAATAAATCATTGAAACCGTCTCACAGAAGAAATCATAATTTTTTTAATTCAAGTTAAGAAATTATGGTTCCGGTTGATAGTGGATCACGTAAAAAAGAAAACAA